TAGGGAAAGGGAAGAGGAGTCAGAGAAGTTTTCAGGAAGTTGTGAATGAATGAAAGCGGAGTTTAAATAGAATCCCTAACATATGACTATAGCATCTCCACTAAAAGCAGTATGACTGGGGAGAACATCAGGCCTCCAGAAGCATTTACTACAAAGACAATATTCTCCAGCGGTCAAAGAATGACAAAACTAAAATAAGAGAATGATAATAACATTTTCATTCTTCCAAGGGACTGATGACAGCATAAGGAAGTACAAATGCTAACTTAGCCCACCACTTGCCTCCAACCCTCTCTCCTCTCGTGTTCGATCATCTACGGATGCAGAGATTACTCCCCAGCGACAATCAATATCTGACACATAGCCTCTGTAGAACGGAGATGCAGCACTTAATGCCATCTAAAATAAAACCAAGTCAGAGATGAGATCACAGTATAAACCCAAGTGACTAATACCAATGCTATGCAATTTCACAGACAGTTTACTTCTGGACCAGCTACATTCCTCTGGATACCTCTATCTTTATGAGCAATAAGAAATGTATTGTGTAGCCAGACTAACTATTTGCAGTGGAGGGAGTAGGTAAGAATGGGAAATTTATCAGGTGAATAAAGAGATGACTTAAACTATTATTCTACTCGTCTTCTACTGAGGCAGTAGAACACTGCCCTTCCTTATTGGTATCCAGCTAGTATTTGATGTTCTTCTTCAAGTCTGTCCAATTTATAAGCCTATGAAAAATAATCTAATCTCGTTTGCCTATAATTCACTTTAAAAACAGAGGCTACAAGTCCTAAATTCCAGGACTTCTGAAAACAATGCCTATAAGCTTTTCAGTTGCTCATTTTCCCAAATGCCCTTGTTACTTCCTTGCCATGTTATGCCTAAACTGCGATTATAAACTCTAGCCTTCTGTCTACTGGGGCCTCTCTCAGCACAAACATTTCTGGTATCAATAGAATCCTAGTTTGTTTGTTATTAAATAAAAAAGTCACTACTATTCCTTCCATGGTCTACTCAGTACTTGGCATTTGAATTAAGTGAGTCTTCTACATATTGCAAGATATTATGTAACGAGTGCTCAGACAAGCAGATTTCTCTGGAAGTTCCTCAAATCATTCCAACAAGAATAAATTTTATGGGTGTGACAATTCACTGAAACACATTGCTGAAAAAGATGCCTTTACCCAATGGACTAAGCTGTCAACATGTTAAGCTGCTGTCCTCTGTGGGGTTTTTTCTTTAATATAGTAAACAACAGGACTTAGTGAAAACTATACTACTCACCACAATGGGACAGATTGTAGCTAGCTGATCATAAAGATATCTTGCTTCAGAAATGCTGCAAGCCTGGAATGTTACCTGTTAGAAGAAGCAGGATTATTATTGTTTGAAGACTCACTGTTCCAGACATTAAATGATTTATTTGAATCGATGGTATTGTAAAAGGCACTTGCATTGACTATTTTAACTTGTTCAGGAAATGAGAACACTCAATTCTTGCTACCAGGAGTAACCACACCACAAATCTCTTCCCATTACTTCAATGTTCAGTAAAAATTTTAAGGCTGCAGTATAAAGGCACTCTTCAGATGCTGAGATGAGAGTTCAAACAATCAGCCAGAAGCAAGAAAAACCAAGAACTTAATATCTCTAACAACAATAATAATAACAGGCCTTCAGGAAATATGCCAGGAGTCAACTGTCTTGAAGCAATGCAGCCTGAGAGGATTTACAGATATAGCATTTTCTTGACTCTACAGGTAAACCCACTTTTAACTAAACTTTTAATCCTAGATGCCTCAGTTGCCTCCAGCCAACTGCAAAATAAATGAATGCTCTGGTGAAAATTCAAGTTTGGAACTAGTCTACACGTGAAAAAGAAATGATCAGACCTGAAAGTTAGTAATTGAGAACAAAAGTCTGCTGAAGTAGTATTTGTTTTCAGCTCCCAAATCTAAAGGTAAAAAACAGTGCTCTTCTGATTTAATCCAAATCAAATGAAATCTGGGGTTTAACTCACTCCTGGATTATCCTTGTTTCTAGCCAAGGGATCCCTAAAAGTGGAAAACTGTAACACTTCATACCTCTAAGGGCAGTTACATAGAACTGAATCTCCCGCCTGGCTTATGCACTGGCAAGGGCAATGAGGTAATTACACATGGACAATTCACACTTCCCGACTTGATGTGACAATTATGTAGGAACTGGCAAAAATAGGCTATACATTTATTGAACCAAAGTCCTGGCTTTGAAGTGTGGGGGTTAAGCTTATATCTTTGTATATTAAGCATTTCCCAGATAATAGGCTTAATTTATTTTCTACATTCCATTACGTCAATGGTTAACACCTAAAGTCTTAATTCCAGGTTGTTTACAACATCTATCATAGTTGTATCATCATTCAGTCTCTCTTAAGCAATGTTCATAGTATATAGTGTGGGAAAAACTGACTAGGAAGACACTGAATATTAACTAACTTGCAGTCATACAATAATAGCTAGTTATATAAAATCCTATTTACAGTATGCTGTGTAATTACTCATCTGTTGCTTTTCATCATCATTAAATACAAAGACAGATGAAACGAAAAACGTTCGTATTTTTCAAAAGTTAGCATTGTGTTTACATGTTTAACAGTGTAAAAATAAGCCTGAATGCTTGGAATCTCCCTAGATGCATTTGTAGTGCACTTCCTTCCTATTAATGTGTTTACCTTGCTGTCTGTGAGACTATTTTATTAATTAATTAAGTCCTTTAAATCAAAGGTGGTTTGAAATTGGTTAGTTTTTACAAGTGCTGCATATGCTGAATGCTGAGAAACAAGAGAATTTTACTTAATTCTACTTAATTCTCTTAATTCTACTACCTACTTAATTCCTGGAGAATTTTACTTAATTCCAGAAGCATAGCTCTTCCTAGTTACCAAGAAAGCAGCAACAGTAAAAACAGAATGTAACATAAAAAGTCAAACCCACAGGCACCAAGTCAGCAGTTGTTTGTGCTAAGTTAATTCATTAGACAAACATTCCAAGAGAACCAAATTAAGGGTATCAAAACACTCTATAATATCAGGTGTACTATTTTATCCTAAGGGAGAAAAAAAAAGTTGGTAAACAGAAGGAATGGATAGGAAGTATGAAGGAGAACAGTAAGTGAAAGCAAAAAAGTGTATTTTCTTACTCAAAGATTTGTCTTACAGTAGTAAACAATGGGACCTCTGTGGATTAGTTAGGAGGATTATGTAATTAAGGAAGAAAAAGCATCTTGCTGCATATCTAAAAATATCTAGGAAGAAAAAGGAAAAGAGTTGGTGCCAATTTTTTCAATTATATGTTGGAATAAACAGATCATGTTATTTATCCAATTAAATATCGTCATGGGCAAATCTTCAGGAAGTTCCAGCTGGCATTCCTCGTCCTTACTGCGTCTGATCTCCGCAGAATGGAGCCACTAACAGAATTCCACTCTTAGGTGAGGAAAACTGACCTGCACTTATTTCCAAATGTCTGGCCAGCTGTAAGCTGAAGTGAAATGTGACCTAAGTCTTTCCACCAATCTGAAAGGGGTCCTCTGCCCTGAACTGCACATCTTCCAACTTAAAAATGGTGAGAATCCCAAACAGGGTCATATGAAAGAAACTTATCTCAAGCCTCAAGTCAAGCAAATGACTGTTTCCTTTATTAATGAAGTCCAAAAGCAGGCAATAGCATCAATTTGAAACAGCCTATTGTTTTTGCAAGCAGAAGTTGCTAAATATTGACAAATCAAAGTTATATTAGGATATAAGCAGAAAAAATGAATCATAAACAAACTGCGAAACCATTTTCAAGAAAGCAGGACAGTGTGCAAAATAAAAGTTTGTTTAAACAAAGACGTAGCTTAAGCACAAATCATTTTAAGGAGTATGTCTATAAATGAGCAATTTATGGCAAAAATCTACATTATTTTATTACATTTTGAACTCGGATACAATTTACCTGAAGGCAGCAGTTGCCCATTCCAAAACCCATGGCATCCATGTATATATGGTCTGGTTTAGCTGCTTTAGCTGCTTCGCCATCATCATTGGGAAATATTTCAGTGAATGGTGATGGTGTGTTCTTGTCTTTAAATACTGAGTAAAAAATACATGTACTCAATAAATATATACTCAATAAATAGTATGCCACACTGAACAATTAATTGAAGAAAAGCACCGAGTCTACTCACTTGGTACATTTATCACTACTTTCTCTCCTCTCCGGTGTCGAATGTTTCTTGTCAGTGTACTAAAACAGAAAGAGTTTAGCTGAAACATTTTCTCAGAGAAGCTTCTTAGTGTTTAAGCATTTGGCTTCTCATTAATTTTTCAAGTCTTGTTATACCAACACTCCCTTGCATTATGTGCATTTTCTGTATAACTACATATTCTACCAGTTGGAGAATTAATTTCCCTCCCCTCAAGTGAGTTCAATCCTATTTTTGTGGTATCAGCATATAACATAGATATCATAAAAAAGAATTAAGAGGCCTATGACATACAAAAATCAGGCAAAGAAAAGTGGTTTTTGATTTGGAGTGGTTTTCCTGAGGTTAAATCTTATGATCAAAAAACCTCTATACAGCTCCACAAAATTAAGAACTACATGCACAAACAGACCAACTCCATACTCTAGATATATTCCAGGGTGCTGTGATATTCCCAGAACAATGCAGATTGGGAGACCAGTAAGGAGCAGTCCGAGGGCTGTGGCAGGTGGGGCCATTGTAACTCTTATAAAAAAAAAGAAGTCATTTTAAGAAAGGTACTGAATGCTGTTAGCCTGAGGCCCCCCCTACACATGCAAGTAAAGACATGATGGGATCTAACGTGTGATCCCACAATCACAGGACTCCCTGTGCTGCTGGGACCAAGGGTCCTGTGACAGAGAACCCTAACCGCGTCACAAGGAAGAAGGTGCGCCCCTATAAGGCCAGAACCTTCTGGGCACGGAGGGCTGGTGAGGAAGGAAGCTGAAGGGGAAGCAGTGCCCCTGAGAGCTCCAGGAAGAAGTTTGGGGAGCAGTTCGTGGCAGAAAGGGGCAAGCTACAGAAGCCCCTGTGAGATGACGACTGCATCCAACCAGGACTGTAGCCGGCGGTGCGGAGCCGAGACTCAAAGAGAGTTCATGTAAGCTGACCCGCTGTGCTGATTGAGCACGTGCAGTTATTATTGTTTTATTTTTTTTTGTGACTATTGAATAACACCAGAGGTTTGGGTGAGGCTATTAGGGGATGGAGGAGGCCTCATTTTTGGGGACCCACTCTGGAGTGGGAGCCCCAGCACCAGTAAGGGCGCAGCTTTTGGGGGGCACAGACCCCAGTGCCAATGAGGGCGCAGCTTTTTTGAGGGGCACAGCCCCAGCACCAGTGAGGGCGCAGAGTGAGATGGGGCCACGGAGAGCCCGAGTACCAGTAAGGGCACAGTTTGGGATGACACAAACCCCGGCACTCAAGGGACGATCTTAAAAAGGTCAGGGAGGCCTGCTGCACCTTGGGGTGCAGGTATATATTTTTGTTTGGACTGGTGGGGTCGCACCCTGGTTTTGAACTTGCGGCCCCCTTGCTGTGGGGCCGGTGCCTGTGCCTCTGGGCCCCACGGGGAGTGCCATGCTCCAGAAGGGAGCAGAAAAGGGAGCCCATGAGCCTCCAGGCACTGGAAGGAAAAGCTAGAGCCTCTGAGTCTAACGCTGTGTGGTGGGTTTGGACAGGGAGGCCTAGCTAGAGAAAAAGGGGCCAGGCCATCCTAGGAAAGACCCCAACATATCCAATATAACAGGCAGTCTCCCGCTCGCATAATAATTTCCATCAAGACATGGCAGACGAGACTAGGGTGGGACAGAAGGATTCCAAGAGGGCTCCAAGGGCGCCCCACATAAGACGCAGATGACCAGGAAGATGGTGCTGGGGAAGGTGACCTGTTACAGGTCCCTACAGTCTAGGCATGGTGCACCAGTAAGCTGTCAGCTGATGGAGCTCCCAGCTGCAGGGACAACCCTGCTACACATGCAAATAAAAGTTTGACAGCAGCCAGCTATAAAGTTAGTACACACTTCTGAGCCAGTTGGAACTTTATGGTGCTAGTTACTTTGCACGTGTAGCTGGTCTTAAGGCAATTGTGCAATTAACCTATTAACCTGTGACACGTAGAAAAGTTTGTTCATGACAGATTTCACTATATAAAAGTTGCTGGAATTTTGCAGTTTACCTTTCTTAAGGGTCTCTTTAGATATGTAATGATACATACTTATGGTTATCTATGTCTTTGTGCTAAAAATATAACACTTGAATAATTGATGTCCGAGTCCCAGTAAGAAATGCATACTAAAAGATATTCAACAACCTGCCTTTTCTAAATGGTCTTACCTAAATCTAGGATGTTTGTTGATGGCTTCATCTGGAAAGAACAGAGACTTTGATACTCCTCCTTCTACTGGTGTTGGCTCATGTTCTGGTAGGGTGAATCCTGGACACCCTAGCCTGTATGATAAATATGAATAAAACTTAACATGAACGTGGAAAAAGATTTTAAACGATCAAATAGCTTATGGCTAGGCTAGGCTAGGCCTTTAGTAGATAAAAGAATTGGGCAGAGTTAAATAAAATACATATTTTATTCACTTTATGTATTTTAATATGCTTCTCAGCTTGTTACCCAAGTCCTGATAGTCACTATAACAGGCTTAGATCACTCACTGTTGAAAGCCAGTATCTGGCAACCTTTGCCACGGTTTTATACTTTTATTAAGATAGGTGGTACTTCATGCTGCTGGGCACTAATGCTGACATGTTAAGCAAAAACAATGACTAAAGGAAACTTTAGGGAATACTAGTTCTCGCATAGGTCTGACCACATATTAGCAGTAGGGGTGAACTCTTAACAGTTTTTTGGGCCAGTACCAATGGCCAATTATTAACAAGCCATAATTGACCAATACCGAACTAATTGCCAATCAGCAGCCCAGCAGCGTCCAAGTCTGCTGGGGGGGAGGGGGAAGGGGCAGGAAAGGGACATGGGTGTGGAGGGTGAAGAGATTGAGACCCCCACGGTGAGGGAGTGGGACTGGGGTGAGGTGGGGCGCAGGCTTATCCAGAGAGTACAGGGGTGGAGGGGGCTCCTGCTGCTGTGTGCAAGCCGGGGGAAGGAATGGGGCGGGGGGGAAGCCATGTACCCTGCCTCCCTCCCCAGATCTGTGTGTGGGGCTCGGGTGGGCTGCTGCTGCACACTTGGGGCCAGGGGCTGTGTCAGCTTCTTCCATCTGGGCCATATAATATGAAAACGGTTTTAGAAAATGAAACAACTGCATGCCTCTGTAGGGAATCCTATTCGTCATATTAGTGCTACTATAAAAAAACAAAACTAATCACACACACTCCTTACCTAGTGACATGTAGAAGTTATCCTATGTGTACATTTGCTAAGTACGCTCTTGGACACTAGCTTGTCAAGAACTGAAGTACAATTAAAAAGTCACACCAGTGAAGATGGAGGCAGTGAGTGTGTTTAACTTCCCAGCTCCACATGTTGCAGATGATAGTTATTTAGAACAAACCCATATGCTGTGAAAAGAAAATCTGGCTACATGCAAATACAAGCAAACTGCTCAACATACCTCAAGATACTTAAAAACAATTAGATTTAGCAGAGGTATGGCATTGAGCCCTGCAGCTGCATTTTACAGGCTGCTCTGTTTGATAAAAAGGTAACATTTAATACTATTGTTATGTAACTACTCAAAGTCTGTTTGACTAGGCAAACTCAAAAACTGATCTCCAGCTGTGAAAGCAGTGAAGTGTGATAACCCAGTGACCCTGGTACTGGCTAGGGTTCAGGAGACTTTTGCTCTATTTCCAGTTTGGCCAATGAAATGCTCCAAGACCTTCAGTAAATTATAACCTCTCTATCAGAAAGTAAAGTATGTGTTTGTTAAATGGGTACAGCAATGCTTCTCAGTTTTTAAGTTGCTACCTTACAAGCCAGATAGACAAGCTAAACTGGAACTGTGCTGGAATTCTCCCTGTTCTACTATACACTAGCTTCTTTATTACGGGAAAATAAATCCTAGCATATTTTTCATCTAGTGCTTGACAGGATACATTAAACTAGAGAACATATTAACAAATCTTCCTGCATGATCATAATCTGTCTGCGATATATCACATGGTGTTATTTCTCCTGGTTGATAATAAACTGATATTCTAGTTAGGCTTAATCTTTGTTGAATATTTTATTTTTTCTACAATTATTCAACAGAAAAAGGACAGAAGGATCCCACAAGTCCCTAACAAGTTATGTCAGCACATCCCAATTCTGTGCTCTTGCAAAATTCTTGTTTTCAAAGCTTCCCAAATCTTTCTGTGAAATCCAAACTCAACAAAAAAATCATCCAAAGAAGCTCTCTTTTCTGCATGTATTTTGATCAAATAATTAGTTTTATTAATAAAAAACAGAGTGGGGAAAAAATTAAAAAGGAGAATCCTGAAAGAGTTTTATCTATAGTGCCATGTTAATTGAAGAGTATACACTACACTCCAGGTTGTGCATGTATGTGCTCATACATTCATTCATGCATGTATGTATATTTAATAGTTTAGTCTTCACTGAAGTACAAAGCTATCAGCGAATGCTTAGAAATGCCTGGAAATTTTAAAGATGATACACAAACCATAACAGCAGCAGGAAAAGGCTTCTGTAAAGAAAACATGTACAGATTCAAATCTTTACATGAATGTTTTATGTGATCTAGTCATACAATTCAGCTGCACTGACTGACCAATTCATGTAACAAGCAGAACACAGAAAATGCCAAAAGTTCAAATCCAAGGAGAAATCACGCACATGACAAATATCTTTAGGTTTGATGAGGACATTCAGCACACCCTTGTTATACAAGCATGACTCAGACAAACGCATGGTCTAACCTTGGAAAGGATGTTACAGTGCAAACAGCCTCATTTTCTTTCAGTACAGAAGCAGCTTCCAGTCGTCGTTTCCTCATGTTGTCTTGTACAGTGTTGAATTCAGACATTGTTCCTCCATACGGCTGCCCAGGTGTCCCTTCAATCATATACCTTCCATACTCTGGTCGCCAGAGTGTTGGGTGGCTTTAATAAAAGGACAGCCTAGTTTAAATATTTATGTAACTGCAAAAGAGATGGATTAGTATGTATAAATTATAGAAATAACAAGAAGGAATGGTCATGTACCTCCAAAGTTTACTAAATTTTAAATGTACAATAGAATTAGAAACTCCAGAGTATCCTTCTTGTAGTGTGTGAAAGGTAAATGCTACATTCTCAAGACTTTGTGATTGCAACTAAGTTTTATTCTAGGCAGAGCTGGCAGTGCTGCTAATAGATAAAGCTACCTAATATTTTCTATCACGAGACCCTATTAGTAACTTATTATTTTGGCAAACTTGAATCACTCAGGCTGAAATTTTGCATGTGATGCATCTGTTTCAGGGATGTGTGGCTGATTTTGTAGCTATGCTGTTTCTAGCTGGAATCAAGTTGGCTCTGGCTTTGCAATTCACACAGTGCATCCTACAGACCTACCCTTATGGATGAATCTTGCCAATGACCCAACTAGAGATCTACACGAGCAGCTGCGGGGGGCTAGGGGGAGGAGGGGAGGCTTGCATGTGCTTGTTTTAATTAGGAATCTATATTCAAAAGCTATGTTAAAAGACTACTTAGGCTGTAAATAGAAGCACTAAAAAATTTGTGTGCGCCATTATTCAGGTTGTCTGTGTAAGCTTTCTTTGTCTCTCTTATACACAAGCACTATGACAGTTTTTGTTATGTTATCACCTGCTGTTCTTCTCCCCTGCTTCTTTCATAGAATGGGTAGTCATTCAATATTTCTTTGTACCCTTACTAACCGTAAGGCAGGGGTGGGTAAAATGCCGCCTGTGGGCCAGATATGGCCCACCAGGCCATTCCATCCGACCTGCAGGGCCCCTAACAATTTAGAAAATTAATATTTATCTGCCCCTGGCTGCCTGTCATGCGGCCATCAATGGCTTGCCAACACACAGTAAACGGCCCTCCGCCCAAAATAATTGCCCACCCCTGCCATAAGGCTTCACTTCGTATGACAGAAAGGGAAATCAGTTAGATACTTTTCCAGGGGAAGGCCAAAACTGCCAAGAACATCCTCTAATTTGGAGATTCTACTTGAATCATTTAAAGCTTTATTTTTTAGAGTGCTAAACATGCAATGATACTTTTTATCCAGCTACTACAGCTGTAGCTTAGATTTCTCATCTAAACACCCAGAAAACAAGTAACTGCAAATTTGCAAATAGTGGCCAAAAGTGAACGTTTCAGTTTTAAGTGACTTGCCATGCATCATACAGGAAGAGACTGAATCCAGTTCTCCAGGACTGATGATTCCTAGGGACAAATCTTAACTACATAATTCTGATTTATCCCCAGAGCACCGAGTCAGAAGTCCGGTGATCATGTAGTTAACTAAACTATTGCATTAATGCTTATGGCACAAGGAGGTGCAAATTAAGAAAGCAGAGACGACCTTAAATCTGCATTTCCTGAAGGCATGTTTTAAGGCAGCTCAGAAGCCTACATGGCAGATCCAGGATTGTGGGAAGGGGTCTCTTCACCATACATGTGCCATACAGTTACACTCCCCCCCACTGTGATCCTGGATGCCAAAGAGCTCTCTGAGCTCATCAGCTGGTTGGTGCAGGCTCTGGCTGGAGTTGCTACTTTCGCAGGGCTCTGCAGCCTAGAGGGTGAGCACCATTCCTGATAATGCTTCTCACCTTTCCTCTCTCCCCCTATGCCTGAATTCAGCAGCAGAAGAAACAAGACAGGATGAGCAGTGGCAGAGCTCAGCCCCATTTTTCATGCAGCTCAGGAGCCCTGGGTATAAGACACCACAGTTACTCATCCCCTATTTTTCCCCTACCACTGTAGTCTGGGGTGCAGGGGGCAAAAAGGGTACAGGAAGTAAGGGTGAACAGCAGTGACACACTGCACAGGCTCCAGAGCTGCGTACAGCAGGGGCTCCAGCCAGATCCCATGCCAAATCAGCAGGTAAACTCAGAGCTCCCCACATGTGCAGAGCTCCCAGCCAGAGCAGAAGCTCGGAAAGCTCAGTAGGCATATAGCACACAGCCAAAGGGGAGTGGAGGGGCTTGCAACTACACTGCCATATACTCTTGCCCTGTTTTAGACCATCCTGAAAGCAGCGTTTACTGAAATTCCATCTCCATGAAGGCTGGAATATAGAAACATTCAAAAACATAGCTGTGCCATTCAATTTGATTAAATGCAGATTTGAAGGGTAAGCCACTGTAAGGAAATTCAGTTCTGTGTAACACTAAGCGTGAGGGATGGAAGGAAACTGCTACTTACTTGGGGTTAATCCTTTCCCCCTTCTCTTGCAGAGTATGAAGAACGTCTTCTCCACTTAGCAACAAACGCACTTTCTTATTTTCATGATCAAAAGCTACCAACATATATTCCACCTATTGTAAATAATGGAGGGAAAAAACATTTATACTTTCTGAACATTTTTAGAAAGTGCTTAAAAAAGAGAGGAAGTGTCACGTGCTAATCAATGGGATCCCTGGAATTCTGCAGATTACATATTTCTTTTATATTTAATGATTACCAACTAGGAATGCGGTAAAAGATACTGTAGACAGAAATGATTAACAATTATTTTCCACGATTAAATTTCTTAGCTTTTTACCTGTCACTGACTTTGGGAGTCCTGGGTATTCTAAACAGACCCATAAAGAAATAATTAAAAAAAAGGGAAAATCTCATGAAGGAAGGTCCTTCCTTCCTAAACATTGTCTTAACACCATTTGGAGGTTCTCTGGTTTCTGGCATATCAAAGAGATTTGCATTAAGTTTTCAGACTAATTGTTAGTAGTTTTTATGGACTTGTACTTCTTAGTTCTTGTTTGACAAATATTTTAATGCAGGGGCAGAGATTGTTTCTTTTTTTATTATTTCTTTATGGGTCTGTTTAGAATACCCAGGACTCCCAATGTCAGCAAGCAAGCCCCAACATACGACAATTACTTGAATAGGCAATTTAAGACTGATATCATAAAGTAGAGCTGTCCAACTAGTAGCCTGAGAGGGGCCGCACGCACCACACAAGCCCCAGCAGCTGCCTGTCCTGTTGGCACTGCCAAGGGAGGGTGGAAAGCTGCCTCCACAGCATTCTGCGCGTGTGGTATGTGACTTGAGGGCTGCATACTAGTGCTGTGTGTGGCCCCTGGCTGTATGAAATTTGGACAGGCCTGTTTTAAAGAACTATTTTTACAAACTGAAAAGTCCAAGGTTATGGGAAATAGCAGCAGGCCAGCTTGGAAAAGCATTACCAGCTGTTCTATAGGGAAAAAGCTAAAGGAAAATTGGTTTCCAGTACAGTTTGCTAAAATGAGTCAAGCTTAGGATATCTAAATGTCAAGTGCCTTTTGGGACCATCTGAAAACTGTAATGCCAACACAACCCCCATCTGGATATTGTAAGATTTTAACACTCAATTATCAGCTTGATTCTGTTACACGAAATGCATTTTGAGGGGGTGGGAGAGAAGAAAAAAAAATTAATTATGGACTTTTCTGAATCAGGAAATAGAACATTATCTCTGGAAAGGACAGTTAAATACAATACTTCAAGACCATTTTTCAAAAGTTGTTTCCCCCCCAGTCTTTTCCCCACAAGACTTAAGAGTTAGAAAATCCCAAATAGACCCACAGCAATACTGTATTCCTATAAATAGTACCCCCCCCCTTTTTTTTTTTTTTTTGAGGATCTTGAAGCATGGGCTCTTGCTTTTGACTGACACAGAGAATGGAAACATGAACATTGAACCATAATTAGAATTCTGAAGGGCACTAAACGCAGTAACAC